TTTTATTAATACTTTTTTTGGGTTCATTAATAGCCTTCTTTTTTTTGGTTTATTAGTATTCTTCTATTTAAAATATGTATATTTTTATCTTTCACTTAATGTCATATATATAATATCATATCATCAATTAATATTAGTTTATTAATAAAAACTAACAAATCTTAATTTAAAATAATTTTTTATTAAAAATTCTCTTTTCATTTACTTTATAACTAATGTAAAGATGCATGTCTTTATTTTTTTTTTTCAAAAATTCAGTTGGCGCTCTAGAGGTACAATTTCGTAAAGACAAAAACTACTTGATGAAGGTTATGAAAGAAGAACAGGAAAGGATTGAGTTGGTGTTGGTTGGGCATCGGAGTTTGGTCGGATCTTGGTACCGATTATAGGGGCTGGGGGCCTCTGCTGGCGGTGGCTAAGGATAGTTAATGGTGCCATGGTGGTAATCGCAATGAGGATGGTTCAGTCCTTCAAGTGGGGACTTTGTGACAATGGGATGAGGGAATGGTGGGTTATGTTTGGAAGCCAGGATGGGGAGCAAGAAACGTGTGGCATGATTGCATCATCAAAGAAGGTAGGGCTGTGTGCTGAGGTTTAGAACTTAGAAGTAAAAGCTAATTATTGAAACAATTGCAGGACTACTAGAACCTTATCTTTAGTAGGGTTTTAATTTTAGTCTGTCTATTTATTTTCTTATCAATTTAGTCTGCTAAGTTTTTTGTTTTGGGCTATTTAGTCTTAGGTCCTTTGCCCGACAAGGATGAGAGACCATGTGAGTTTTGGCATTAGGTTAATAATTCTCTCAGGTTAAGGTCACTAAGGTTTGCTCGATTAGGAGTTTTTGTGTTCGACCATGATTTTGCGCCTAGTCAGGGTTGGAAGACCCCACGAGCGTAGGCCTTTTAGATCAACTCTCCCTTGCGCAAGTTCTCGGTTTTTGGGATGACAATTTTACCCTCATCTCATGTGCATTTACATTTTTACCCGTTATAAGTAAGGGATTTTCATCCATGGACCGGCTACAGGTAAAATAATTTTATCCAATAACTTTTGGGCAAAGGT